ACACCGCGGGAGTAGCGTCGAGGTTGACTTCGCCGTCTTCCCCCCTCAGTCATACCTTTGACAAGGATATATAGCTGCGCGCTAATCGTCTTTGGTAGACACACCATGGGTCAGGGTTGATGCCCTGCACCTTGAAGATAACATACGGCTTCGCCGTCTCCTCTCTACAGAGATTTTACGTCTAATCGATACCAGTGGGAACACGCACTCAGCGTTGTCCAGTATCCTTACTCCCTGCTCCATCAAAGCTTGATGTTATAAACAACATTCGACGAAGAGCTGCTATTTCCGCAGATAATGTCCAGTGGATAACGTGCCACTCCACGCGCATCACCAGGGCCTTGACCTTGATGCCTCTTACCTAGTCCGACAATGCCACGCTTACACGCAGCATCAGCTCCGTAACCGGAGTAGTGCTCAGTAGATTACTTGCCACTCCACGCGTATCACCAGGGCCTTGACCTTGATGCCTCAGACCTAGTCCGACCATGCCAGGCTTGGCACGCAGCAACTACTTCGTAACCTGAACAGCGCTCAGTGGGTTACGTACTGGCGTGGGGCCCTCCATTAAGACGGTCACTGCGACCGCCTCGGGGTGAAGATCTGCTGCCATCCCAACAATAAGAGTTCCCAGCTCTTGCACAAAGCTCACCAACCCCTTTTGCCCCGTCGGGCAGCAAGGAAACGCGATATGCCTGAATACGAAGGGAGACTTTTATCATATTGGCCACATTCAATCAAGCCGCGAATACAATCTACTTTCAGAAAAAGAGAGTGTTACCATGTAGTGCACATTTATAAATTTTCGAGCCTATGTGCTTGGCGAGGAAACGCGCGTTACTGACACCAACCACACGTCACTGAGAACGAATCTGCAAGCATCACGACTATCACGAAATATAACACGACGTTTTATCTCTTAGAGAATGTAACCTTGCTGTACATTACCAACCATAGTCGGACCTGAACCGGATGCGCTGTCTAGACATCCGAAGTATGATCGTGACGACACTTAACGTATTGTTAGAAGAGTGACAAGCACTGTCCAAGCCAAAACTACCGCAGGTTTAAGTAAGACGAAGCATGCCAGGATTTGATCCATCCATTTTTACTTAAAGCAATCGGGAGAACTCAAGATGCATAGATTATATGGCTGACTAAGGTGATCGACACGAACGTTATCGCAATCGACATAGACATGCGACAAAACCTCATGTACAAGTATCATGCCAGTCCTTCAAGTGTCAATCTCGGACAAGAGAAAACGTTTGCAATTCATCCCGAAGATGATACCGGCCACATATCAACAAAGCCAGTTTGCAACTGTATGCGTATATGCGCGGTGTGAAGCCATCAGACAAGCATGGTGGGAAAGTTTTTTGGTGTTTGATACAAACTTATATACCTTATAAGAAAAACTTTGCAAACGTAGTGTTTTGGCTTCATGTCTTAGGGACTGGTAAACACTGCCGAACTAGGCGTATCGTGCGCGCTCAGATTTCTTGTCCACCTCTCACTGAAGTTGAATTGACGACCATGTCCGGCTTATCGTCCCAATGGCTGCAGAGCATCTGCAATAGTTACCCTCATCATAGAGGGTCTTTAAACATGTTCAGTTTGCTTCGAGACCATTACGTCCCCTCTACCTTGTGCAAGAAAGCGGTGAGTGTCGACTCTCAGTAGCGCAGTTCTTTCCCGCGCACTACTAAGAGTCGACGTATCCCCGCGAAGGGTTCATCGGGCAAATTTGCGCCGGGACTTGATGTTTTGTTCCTCTAAACCAACGAGAGCACGCAAGGTGCAAATGATTTGAACTCCATAGATGTAACATCTGCGCGTACCCTATGCTGCTCAGCAGCCAAGATTGAGGTTGATCACGTCTAGCGTGCTGAAAGAGCTTCCACCTCCGGTATGCCAAAATGGTAAGACATTTCCAGGCGGTTTATCTTTGGTCGTTCTTTGTGCCATTGCATCGTGACCAAGTAGAGACACCTAATTATCAGACGTGGCTTGTTGTCGTCATGACAAATAGTTGCACGATCTTGCTTATTAAAGAGTACATACCCAGTCGAACAAGAGTGTGACTAGATCAGCAAGACGAAGCTATGGCAGGCATGGAATACAAAGGGAAGGTTTAGGATTTTTCGATTTCCGTGTGCAAGATCGCGGGCCACGAAATAATTTGCGAACGTCAATTACATCAAACAAGTTCATTATAATTAGCACTTAAAAAATGAACTTTCTGACACACTTTTTGAGGGTTTAACGAGTTATTTGCGAAAACACTACAAATGCGTAAATATGACAAATTATGCTCGAAAGAGTATATAAAAGCGAACCGCCGTCACAAATTTGCGAGGCGTCTTCGGCGAAATTTTCTGGTCAAATAATTTTTATAAAATGGAGTATTATAAACCTTTCCAGTAATTTTTCGTTGTTCATTTACTGTTTTAGACCTATCATAACGCATGAGAGCACACGATTTAGCTGACTTTTAAACATCTTCCTCTTCAACCTTGCCATCGATCTCTACAGCCTCTTCGGCTTCCGCTTTAGCTTCAGCCTCCACCGCTTCATCTTCTGTGACCAATCCCTTGCTCCACAATTGACGACCTGCACAAGTCGATACGTCAACAATGACGGCAATGTACTAAAAAATCCTGGATGATTTATACCGGTAAGTTTAGCTGTGGCTTCTTTCTTGAGAGAAGTTTCCTTTATACTTGTCACTTCAGTATCGAACTTTGCTTTCCAGGCAGCGAAAGTCTCAACAGTGACAGGTGTACCTTTAAACCCAGCGTCAAATTAGTCAAATACTACTACAGCAGCTAAATAATAGGACACTTGTCCGGTATTTCATACCGTGAAATTCACGCTGGTTCCCCTCGCCCTTTACATTGGCCTGTAAATAAACACATCAAATTAAAGCCACGCACTCACTACTTGCTCATTATATTGCAATCCACCTGCTCTAATTTCTCCGCCTCGACTTTCTCCTCCGCCACTTTCTTCAGCTCCATGCGACGCAACATTTCCTGATGCTCAGATCCATCCTGCTCAGCAGATAAAATCATTTTTCACATTAAATCATTGATGGTAACATCTACAGTCGTACGACATCGTACATTTCCTTCGCGGTTGTTTTCAACCAAGTATTCTCGCACTGCCTCCGTCAACGTATACATCATGGCCGTGCCCATGTTCTCCTCGATCTGTTGTGCTAATAGCTGCTTGATCTCCTTCACTTGACGATCCACCAGCCCTTTCAGAACAATCACCTCAATCTGTAGAGAAGCATATAATAGAGCCATATTTTTCGCACCCTTTGTGTCTTTAGGTATAGCAACATCTTCCCACCAACCTCTGGTTCCAGGTCAGGGTATTTTTCTGGGATCTTTGCTTTAAGCTGCAGCGCCACTATAATTTAGCCAGCATTGTTCATATGATTTTTCATCATCAAACTTCCACCTAGTTCGACTACAAGGCTGAAGTAAAGGAAGCCAGACTTACCGAAGTTACTATCACCGTCCTGATTGGGTACCACGTGCACCTGATACGTCAACGGCTTATCCGATAGCTCTGCAATTTAATTTCAAATTACTTTGATCAGCTCTTTGCATTCTTAACGTATAAAAACAATATTTGACCGACCACGCACTAGTAAAGTCGTCCATGTAGATGGCTTCTAGAGCCTCCATCTCCATTGCCTGCTCTTCGTGGTAATCTGTCACAAATGCCACAGAATGTGGAACATGAGCTCAAAGCCTGCTTTTTATCATGCTTTATCACAGCACAAAATCGTCTAGACGCCGTGCTGCTCCATACAATGCATGACACATACCAGTCATATTTAGCTACGGTTGGTTGCTTCCTTCTTCTAATTGGTCTAAATATTTTCTAGGAGAATGGTGATTAGACAAAACATAATGATGGACAAAGACTACAAGCTCGCAAAGGAGGCCTTCGTAACTGGTCTCCATGGGACTAGCGCAAGCGAAGTTTTCATTGTTTTTGCTCTTGCACCAGTAAGTTCAAAGCAAATTTCATTTAGTACTTCTACAGTTCACGCCAACTCGGAGTTTGCTATGTCTTGACTAATGATACAACTGTGCAGGGAAGCCTATGGCTTTATAATGAGCTCATGCTAGTCCTCGAAATTTTTGGGATTCAGAATCTAGGGGCTACTTACTTGGTGAGTGTGATAATTATCAAAATAATCTCTAGAATCTTTATGTAATTCGAACTAGAACTTGTTTACAACGATCTTGGTAGAATTCGTTGTTACGGTAGTGCCAACAATGATTGGATTAAGCTTCACCCAGTACGCAATCCCGCTTCTTGCGACGTTATACTCCCTGGCAGCGACGTTTTGTGCCCTCTCTCGGCTTCATTCAAAAGACTATGTTCGCAAATACTGTCGGAAAGAAAAGATGAATGGACTTGTTGAAAAGGAGCTGCCATTCCTTACAAATTTTCGAGCCCAGATCATGATGTCAACGTAAGCCAATGGATCTTCAGCGAATTTTCTCATCTTTACCTTTTCGTTGAAAATGATTCACAGATGCTTCGCGATTCTAGCAGTTGACTTTACCGTGTTCCCCCGGCGGTTTGCAAAGACAGAAAACTACGGTTTTAGTGTGGTTAGTAGTGTCATTTGTATGACCTGTCGGTAATGATGTCTGAGATAAATATGCTGTACATCATTGTGATGAGATGGATATTGGGGTGGGTGCCTTTATTGTTTCTTCAGCAATTGTATCAGCACCTGCTCGTCAAGCTCGTCCAAGAATTACCACAGACAGGTGTGCTACAAGATTTCTTAAGTCATGGTATTCATTCTGAACTCTGAAAGTTTTTGCAGGCATCGCATCGAGCATCCACAAAGCATTTTGGAAAGACTATATTTGTTTTTTCGACCAATTGCACTTGTGTTGTTATTCGGAGTTGCTAGATTCTTAGCTGTCAGAGGTGTAAACTATCAGGTTTGAAAGTAGATTAGGTGATTAAGATTAACATTTGCTTGACAATTTCTTGATCAGGAACACGTATCTGAGTACGGAGTCCATTGGAACTTTTATTTTACTCTTGCAGGGGTGTATTTTGTCTACTCGATACTGCGTATCTTCGGTAAATGGGCTACTAATCCCATCGTGGCACTTTTAATTGCCTTTAGTAAGTTATTTCGTCCGTATTATCCGTGTTAAATGATCAGTTTCTAATCAAATGCTGAATATGGCAGTCTACCAGATATATCTATCGCTTTATGATGGTGAAAAGTACATGCTCGATGGCCTTCGAGACAATTTATTGAATCAAAACCGCGAAGGTGTTTTCAGCTTAGCAGGTACGACACAGTTCACGTTATTGATTGCGCTCAAGCAAACTGATCTCTTTGAAATGCTTTGATAGGTTACACATCCCTTTACTTGCTATCCACATATGCAGGCCAATGCATTTTCAGCTCCATAACATTCAACCACGTGAAAGCTCAACGTAGTATGAGGTGGCTTGTGATCTCACTCATATTTATCTCGGGGCTTTTATGGACCTCAACTCTTCTCGCGGTCCGCCTCATTGCAAGTCCATCCCGTCGAATGGCAAGTGGAACTTATCAATAAGCTTTCACTGATTTCTAACGTTTCTATGCACGGTTTCAATAGCTTAACATAACATATATGCTGTGGGTTATGGCCCAGTCTCTCACTTTGGTTGCTCTTTACGGCGGGATTCAACTCGTTTGGTACGTAATTGTCCAATTTCTTTTCTTGGATACCCTGATAACCATATGATTTCATTAGCATGCTCCCCAGAGTCCCGCTTTTAAATCGAGGTATCAATCAAAACCAGCTTTTCGTTTTCATTGTGGTATGCTATTATTTTTAGGCTGAAATCTTGAACAAGACGCAAATCTTAACGTTCTCTTACTGTTTTGAAGGCTAATCTCATGACAGGCGCGATTAATTTGACTGTAGACACCATCAGTGCAAATACGTTTGTATCGTCTGGTATATTGATAGTATACATGCTGGCGGTTTGCGTACTTGCCTCGGCATTGCAGCATGCAAACATCCGTATTAAGCTATAAAAAATGTTATTTTTGTTATGAACATGCTAAAGCACCATTTGATTTATATATGTACATTAGACGATAGAAAAATGAACATAGATTAGCTATTAGAGCGGATTCTTGTCACGTATACCACTGAGATTGGTCTCTTCAAAGGCTCCAAAGCAAAGCCTATCCATATTTTATTTTTAGCGTTTCAATATTCGCACATTCTACTTTAATGTAGCGTATCCTTTCAAATTCGGTAAAATAACTCGACGTGATAATTTTACGAGATTGCGTGTATTTTATAACCCGATGACGTCGCTAAAAGCGATCATTTTGTTACGATTTCTGTAACCAGTACCCATACACGTCCATTCATTGATTGACCAGCCATGGCTCCAATTGAGACTTACAAGGACACTGTGAACGGTATGTGGCATTTGCCTTCCCCACAGCGCATACATGTCACCTCACTTTATGTTCATCATCTAAAATAGAGAGTCTATATCAGCGTAAGCCCGCCAGTGCTGCTTCTGACGAGAATATTACCACATACACGTGGCAGGACGTGGCCAAGCACAATACAGCCAAAAGTGCATGGGTCATCATTCGTGGCTTCGTGTACGATGTCACTGGTGCGTTCTAGTCATCCACTGTTATGACAGTAATCAAGTAATTGACATAACGAATACGCTGCACGTTTAGAATGGGCGGATCGTCACCCCGGAGGTCGCGAGCTCGTGCTGTTGCACTCTGGACGCGAGTGTACTGACACTTTTAACATGTATCATCCTTTTTCCAACCGTGCTGACAAAATCTTGGCTAAGTACGTCGTTGGCAAACTCGTTGGAGGCTCCGAGTTCCCGACCTACAAAGCTGACACCGGCTTTTATAAAGAATGTTGTGAGCGTGTCCATCAGTACTTCAAAAACAATAACTTAGACCCGCGTAGTCCGTATTCGGGTCTCTGGCGCATGTTGTTCGTAGCTGCTATTGGTATTATAGCCTACATGGGCATGAATCAGCAATATTCGGACAGCATTTACGCCCACTACGCTTGGGGTGTCCTATTTGGTGTATGCCAAGCCCTTCCGTTGCTCCATGTGATGCACGATGCCTCACATGCTGCCATTACAAGCAGCCCCACAGGCTGGAGACTCATTGGACGTTTTGTTATGGACTGGATGACCGGAGCTAACATGATCTCTTGGCTCAACCAGCACATTGTTGGTCACCATGTTTATACAAACGTTGCTGGTGCCGACCCCGACCTTCCTGTGGACTTTAAGAGCGACATCCGTCGTATTATCCATCGTCAGGTGCTGTTACCAATCTACAAGTATCAACACATTTACTTGCCTCCACTTTATGGCCTTCTCGGCCTTAAATTCCGTGTTCAGGACATTGTAGAAACATTCATCGCGCTTTCGAATGGACCGCAGCGCGTGAATCCGCACACGCTTGGAGATTGGGCAGAGATGATCATATCCAAGGCTTTTTGGGCATTTCACCGCATTTATATTCCTTTAATTGTGTTGCAAGTTGATCCCGCTCGCTTCTGGGGTGTTTTCTTTCTGGCTGAATTTGTTACGGGTTGGTACCTGGCCTTCAACTTCCAGGTTAGCCATGTTTCCACAGCGTGCGACTACCCAGGTGGTGAAAAGGAAGTCACAGCAATTGAGGACGAATGGGCCATTTCGCAGATCAAATCGTCGGTGGACTATGCCCATGGTTCGTTCCTGACAGCTTTTTTGACTGGTGCATTGAATTACCAGGTGACCCACCACCTCTTTCCGGGAGTCTCGCAGTATCACTATCCTGCCATTGCTCCTATAATCATGGACGTCTGTAAGAAGTACAAAGTCACGTACACAGTGCTTCCGACGTTCAAAAAAGCACTGGCGGATCACTTTAAACATCTCGCAATTATGGGCAAGATGGGCAAGCGCGTGAGCGTCCACATGGGTTAGGCCGATGAATTCTTGAGCTCAGTAATTATGGGAAGATGATCACAGTCTATCTTATGTGCTGATATGCTTTCAATGAAGTATTTCATTAACTTCAGAATATGAATGGGAATTACTGAGAATAACAGAGATCTTGCAGCTCTAATACAGAAGTCACCTTAGAAAAGAAATATTCTTTTAGTGAAGCCTATCAAAACGAAAAGCATAAACGTTTGATCCCTTCCGGAAAAGTAATTGCTGCGCAGACGTAAAAGCTTTTATTTGTTTGCATTCGCGAATGATCTGCATAAGGAAAAACTATGTTTTATAAATTTTCACTTCGTAAATTAATTCTACAAATTTATTTTAAGAGAGAATAAAAAAAATGCCACAACTTTTGCCATATATAAAAAAAATATCCCAACT